TATATTGGATAAAGAAATGCAGTATATCTCTGTTCAATGATCTTGGCATCTTTTTTATTTATTTATTTATTTTTTAATTTTTTATTGTTGGTTGTTCAAAACATTACATAGTTCTTGATATATCATTTTTCACACTTTGATTCAAGTGGGTTATGAACTCCCATTTTTACCCCGTATACAAATTGCAGAATCACATCAGTTACACATCCATTGATTTACATATGGCATCTTTTTTTTAAAAAAGTCATTTGATCATATATGTGAAAGTTTATTTTTGGACCTCTCTTACCTCATTAGTCTGCATGTCTGTCTTAAGGCTAGTACCGCACTGTCTTGGTTATTGTAGCTTTATTTCTTCCTTTCCACTTTGGATATCTTTTTAAAAAAGTTTTATTATTTATTTTTATTTGCTCTTTTTAGTTATACAGGATAGCAGAATGTATTTTATACATATTATACATATTATACATACATGGACTATAACTCCCCATTCTTGTGGTTGAGCATGATGTTGAGTTACACTGGTCATGTATTCATATATTAACACATCAAGATTATGTCTGATTCATTCTACTGTGTTTCTATTCTCATCCTCTTCCCTTCTCTTCATTCCCCTGTCTAATCCAATGAACTTCTATTTTCCCCCCTCCCACTCTTATTGTGCGTTAGGAGCCACATATCAGAGAGAATAGTCAGCCTTTGGTTTTGGGGGATTGGCTTATTTTACTTAGCATAAAAGTCTCCAGTTCCATCCATTTACTGGTAAATGCCATAATTTCATTCTTCTTTATGTCTGAGTAATATTACATTGAGTAGATATACTACATTTTCTTTATCCATTCATCTGTTGAAGGGCACTAGGTTGATTCTATAGCTTAGCTATTGTGAATTGAGCTGCTACAACCATTGATATGGCCACATCACTATAGTATGCTGATTTTACAGTCTTTTGGGTATAAATTGAGGAGTAGGATAGCTAGGTCAAATGATGGCTCCATTCAAAGTTTTCTGAGGAATCTCCATACTGCTTTCCAGAGTGGTTGCACCAATTTGCAGTCCCACCAGATATTTATGAGTGTCCAGTTTGGATATCTTTTATTTCTTTGACTTATCTAATTGTTGTGGCTTGAATTTCCAGCACAGTGTTCAATATAAGTAGCAAGAGCAAACATCTTTGTCTTGTAACCAATTATTACAAAATGATTAGCTTCATCATTGACTATGATGTGGGTTTTTTAATAGATACTATTTATCATGTTGAGGAAATCTATTTCTAGTTTGCTAGCTTTTTTTATTTTGAAAGGGTATTGGTATTGTGAATGGGTGTTGGGTATTGTCAAATGATTTTTTTGCATTCTATAAATGTAGTGTATTATGTTGATTTTTGTACATTGAGTCATGCTGTATTCCTGGGATAAATCTCACTTGGTCATGATATATAATCCCTTTTATATGCTACTAGATTTTTTTGTTGGTATTTTAACATCTGGTGTTCATAAAGAATATTAGCCTAAAGTTTTCTTTTCTTTTAATGTTTTAACCTGGTGTTGGTCTCAGGGGAATGTTTGCTACATAGAATGAGTTAGAAAGTGTTCTCTCCTTTTTTTTTTTGGAAGACTTTCAGGATGCATGTTAATTCTTTAAGTGGTGGTATTCATTAGAGAAGCTATCTATCTGGCCCTGGGCTTTTTAAAAATTATTTTTATAAATACAATCTTTTTTTCTTGTTACAAGTCTACTGAGATTTTCTACATTTTTCTTGAGTAAGTTTTGGTAACTTTTATGTTTCCAGGAATTTTCCCATTTTGTCTTTGTTATCTGGTTTATTGGCAGTTAGTTGGTATCCTTTAATAATCCTTTTTATTTCTGTAAGGTCAGTAGTAATTTCCTCACTTTCATTCCTTTCTTTTTCATAATTTGGGTTTTCTTTCTTTTCTTATTGGTCAGTCTAATTTAAAGGTTTGTAAGTTTTGTTGATCTTTTCAAAGAACCAACTTTTGGTTGATTTTCTCTACTATTTGACACACTCCCTGTGTTTTCTTCCATTTGTTGTTAAAGAGTATATTCTATAATTTCCATGTAATTGTGAATTTAATAGATTTCCTTCTTTCATGGATTTTGTTTCATTTTATTGTGCTCAGAGAAGATACACTGTATAATTTTAATCTTTTAAAAATCTTCAAGATTTGTTTTGTAGCCAAATATGTTGTCTTGAGAAGTCTGTGCAATTCTGCTGTTGTTGGGTAGGTTTCTTTATGGCCTGGTAAGTCTAGTGGGTGTATAGTGTACTTAAAATCTTCTCTTTGTTGATCTTCTGTATGGCAGGGCAGCCAGCACCCTGCCAGGGTAGTTTCCTGATCAGAAGGTTGTGAGCCACCTGAGAAAATGCAAGTCTCGTAAAGAAATAAGAGACATATCCAGAAATTAGATTAAAGGAAGCGGAGCACCTGATAGATCCAGTCCACACAGGAGCTAGAACTGAACAACTAGAAAATGGCTCCAGTCCTTTATTTAAGGGGGAGTTCATTAAAGGCAGGATAAGGTTTCAGCGGGAGGAGTCATCTTGCTTCTCAGTGTGGCAGGGCACTTACAGCAAACAGCTTGATTGGCATCTTGGCAAACCACACCCATCTCTGAGAGGTTGTGTGGCTGTGTAGTTCCAGCAGGTCACCCCAACTCCAGTACAGTGCTGAACCTGGCATAGCTAGGTAGGATCACATGTACTGGGCGATCTCAAACCAGCAGGAGTGCTGCTGGAGTTTCCCAGATACCAAACTTTCCTACCCAATGGCTTCCAAGCCGATTGAGCTCACGGACATTTCATGGGTGGCTTCTGACACTTCTGTCTAGTTGTTTTATCTATCATCACTGAAAGTAGGGTGTGGAAGTCTACTGTTAGTAACTGTGTATTTTCCCTTTCAATTTGTTTCATGTATTGAGGTAATCATTATATTTATTATTTTATATCTTAATGACAGATTGACTTTTTTTTAATACAGTGGTTTTTGCCATTGAAACAGTTTTTGTGTTAAAGTTTACTTGTCTGACATTAGTATAGCCATGTAAGCTCTTTTGGTTAACTGTTTTGCAGAATATCTTTTCAACTTGCTCATGTCTTTGAATCTAAACTGAATTTCTTATAGAACTCATACAGTTGGATCATATGGCTAATCTCCTCTGTACATCTATAAGAAGAGTTTCTTTTACCACTTTGTGGGTAAAGAGCCAGTCAGGTGTCTCGCTGCTTTGGGAGATTATGTCCCAGTGTCCTTAATGGTTTCTTGTAGAACTCTGTCTCTGAGATTAAGGCCTAAGGACTCCAGGAAGAGAAATGATTTTTGCTGAAAAACTTGTGATTCTGCCATCCTGGTTATCCTCTAGCAATTTTATGAGATTTCTGTGAGAATTAAATGAGAAAATAGATGTATTTTCTCAAAATGCTTTTACAGCAGTAGTGCACACCATGAGGTATTGCTAATGCACAACATCAAGCTTTTTTTCTATCAGCTTCAAAGTCCTTTAGGAAAGTAATTGAACACAAATATCTAAAAGAAAATTTTGTTGTGCTTCTTACTCTGTTACAAGACTAGGAAGATAATGGGGTAAACCCTTGCCTTTGCTTTGATCTATGGTGAAGAACCTTTTCTTTTTTTTTTTTTTTTTTTAATCTGATTGTTCCACCACGTTCTTTTCTTGCTCCTCCTGTCTACAAGGGTATGCTGGTTTTCAGCTATTATGGGTATTAACTGAGTACCTCATCAAGCTCTGGATCTGTCCCTATAGCTATGCATTATGTGTATCTCTCTGAGAGGAGATCCCCTCGTCAAGATAATCTGATCAGTCTTCCCAAGGTCATGGCTCTGATGGAAACAAGCACACAGAGTCTAGCAGGTTCAGAAACTGGGTTTGGATTTTCAGCCACTTGGTTCAACTTTGGGAGCAGTGACTTGAGAGCTAATGCTGAGAGCTAATGCTCAAAGGAAGAGCTCAAAGCATTCAGGCAATATGGTTTTTGCCCTCAGAAGGCCATGAATGACAAGGATCACAGTAAATGCAGAAACTATTCACTCATGCAGCAGGAGAAAGGGCAGGAAGGGCTATAATTCAGAACCTGGAGCCCCTGTGAAGTGAACTAATCAGGGACCCAGCACAGAACCAGGTTTGAGAGTAAAGAAGCCAACAGTGTTCCAGAAGATGGGCTAAGCTTCCCTTTGACCTCAGCCTGAAGCTGGTTATGTAACAGGCCCTGTCTGTCAAACTTTTTACCCAGGTGCATCCATACTTTCTAGTGTAAAGTGCCCTTTGGCAAACCGAATACAGACATCAGACACCTTTCTGCCACAGCACTTACTCTAGCCACTCCTGAAGGGACCAGTTCACACAGGCTCTGACCAACTTCACAGAGGTACAGTAGGATTAGTGTGTGTGGGGGGATCTCTTCCCCCTGTGATGCCACACCTCTTGCTTTCTACCCAAGAGACAGAATCTGTTTGGGACTCACACCTGGAAATGTGAAGCGCTGACACCTGTGGCTCAGCCTTTGATGGATGGGTGTAAAAGATAAATACTTCCTTCTTTTGTCCATGGTACAGATGGTTTTTAGGTGTATTTTATAGTCCTCCTCAGAAGTTCTGGCTGACTGGAACACAACCTGCCCTTGGCACTGGCCAATCTGATCATATAACCCAGTGTTGGGCCTCCTTCCCTCCCAGTTCTCCTCTGTCCTTTACTCCTGTTCCCTGGAATCTTGTTCCCAGACAATCTAACTGCACAGACATGCTGGTCTCAGGGGAACCCAGGCGAAGACACTGTGTAGGAAGGCTGATGCGGTTCACAGTTACTAAAGTACAGATTTCTAGTACACAGGGATTAGATCTTAACCTTATAGTCTAATCCTTAACCATTGTCAGAATTAGCCCAAAATGACAGAAAGAAAAGTTAGGTGTTGATGTGGCAAGGGCTCACCAAATTCTGGAAAACAAGATTGAAGGTAATTGCTATTATTTTAAAAAATCATTTTATTTATTAAAACTTTCTTATTTCCCAAGGCACTTCAGTAGCTTTCACAAAAATACATTTTTTTTTAAAACCAGGTGAAACATATGCTTTAGGAGTACCATGGTAACATAATTAGAAAAGACAATTACATTGAACACAAAATATCTCCCAATAATGTTATATGACTAAAATGAGCAACTCTGAAAGATTGTGAATGTGATTTACAATTCTTTCTTGTAATTTTCCCCATGATTAGGTACCACAAGAGGAACACATACAATCACATCTTTTTTTGGCACTCAGAGAAGTGCTAGTGGCTAAGGCTGGTAAGGCCTTGTACAGTGGTGAGGGGCACAAGCCAGGAAGCTAAAGAAATAGCCTTTCCCAGGTCTTTGCTGAAGGGCAAATAACTTAAGAAGGAGGAGACACAACAAACAAACAAACAAACAAAAACAAAACCCCTCAATACAGTTTCGAGAGGGGAGACAATTTTTCACTAATACACTTCCTTTAAACCACAGATAAGAAGCTCTAGTAGTGAGGAGGCTTAATTTACACAGCAGTAGAAAACACAGAGAGCAGACCTGTGGGCCTGACAAGCCCAGTGCTTTGATCAGATGTAAACAAGCCTGCCCAGCAGTCATAGTGTGGTCACAAATCACCTGCCTGTGTTCTGCATCTGCTCAGAACTCTTCATCTGAATCATATTTACGTTTCCCTAAAGCCTGTGCTCCTCCCTGCCATGGGGATGCAACATCCCAGTTAATGTCCTTTGTAACTGAGAAAAGGTGAGAAATCAAACTCCCCCTGTGGAATATTTTTTTCCTCGTAAGTTCATCATGTAGGGAAAGAAGGGAGAAAACTCAGACCTCCATTTTATCAGGGGCCTTTTCAGGTAGTCCAAGATTAAAATATACATCTAGCAGATGCCTCTTGTATTCTTCCAAATCCTACAGGATCTAGTGAGCCATCGGCTTCTTAGGAAGTGCCATGTCTATCACTGTAATAGTTAGGACATATACAAGTTGTCTGTAGGTAGCCTTGGTGTCCCTGGAGGAACCATATATATCCAGGATCATATATATGCATCCTGTGAGTGGGTATGATGCTCATCCACGAGCAAACCAGACACAGGGTCAACAGAATAAACAGCAAAGGCATTTGTCACTGTTGAACTCAGAGTCTGTACAGCCATTTCTGACAAGATGCAGGCTTTCCTTTTCAGTTCCTCTCTCACTGGAGGTTGTTTTAAAAGGCTGTGCTCTTAAGGATTGTGGGGCTTTCTTCACCATCCTTTAACATTCTTGTTTGGCTTGGGGTTTGCCTATATTTTATTCTATTAAAATAAGCAAAACAAATGTTAGGAACAAATCTGAAAAAGAAGCCTATCAGACTCAAAACAAACAAATACATCAGAAATGAGGATAACCTCACTGGGAAAGAAAAATCATACAGCAGATCTGAGATATTTTCTCCTAGTCTCCACACTATCCCAAAGCTGCTGTTGCCCTGGCAATGTGTGTGGAGACATGTCCACACAGGATCAGATTATTGCCATTCATAACCCTCTGATGGCTAATCTGGCCCAAGGTATTTGTGAGAGAAAGTCTGCTGGGGGCTCCACTTCAAGGGGCTGACCAGGTCCAGACCCAGTGCATCCTTACTGTGAGGAAGGAGGTCTCCTTACCCTTTGACCCTTAACATCTGGTCAATGGTGTCGGGGAGAGGGCTGCCGAAGCTTTCTGGGAAGAACAAGGTGAGGATGGCTGTCAGGATGGTCAGACTTCCCATGAGAATGTAGGGCAGGAAGCGATCATAGGCACCTGTGGCAGAGCAGACAGAAGCCCCAGCCCCAGGCTGCAGTGAGATTTGGTCTACCTCTATCCTTTTTCACTTCCAGGACTTGTAAAGGGGTCACCTTCCTTGCTGGACTTGGCCCTTCCCACAGCCTGAGATGCCAGATTGGAATCTTGTACCTAGACACTCTCAGAACCCACAGCTGGCACAGGCATGCTCAGAGGGCCAGTCGTGCCCCCATGGTGCCAGGGAGAGATTCAGGGTAGCAGAGAAGCCAAGCCCTGATGATTAGTCTATTTCTCAATGCTGTGTTTCCAAGGAACACGAGGTACTTGTCCAGGGATAGGAATAACTCTGCCACCTCTGCAGATGTGCCACAACCTGTTTGATTTGCCTTCAGGTGAGGCAAAAAGAATTTCTTCTTATTAGGTCTATGCCACATGCTCACAGAGCACTCTGGATATTCTCAGGGTAGATGCCAGTTCTCTCTAAAGGTGTGCTGGCTAGGGATGTGCAGGGAAACAGCAGCTGCCATGAGGAAATAATTCTGAGGAAGAGAAAACTGGTGCACAGCCACATAAAGAGACACAAGCCTGTGTTAAGTGCTCCAAGCTACAATGATCCTCAGTGTATCACACTCCTTGAATGAACATCTTTCCCCTCATCTTTCCTGATCCCAAGAAGAAACATCCCCAGTTAAGTACTCTGGCTCCCTAAACTTTTCTGACGATTCTTAGGATAAAGAAATTATGCTCTCTGATGGAGGGCCTGTGTGGCCAAAACAGAAGCAAAGTCCTCTTTCTCATCCATTTTTTAGCTACTCTATAGGTAGTTTTCTGTTTGGAAGCAAGAGCTTCCCCCACAGTGCCCTGGGACATGATCCCTCCCCAACCACAGATCCGTACTGGATGGATCCCATGTGCTCTGTGTGCTTGTTTTCCTGTGAGCAAGCCATCTCCAGCTCACATTAAAGCCAATTGGTGCTTCTGTCCCATCACTCCAGTGTGCCCTTGGCCCAGGGAACTTACCAAGGTAAACAAAGTAGGGAGACAGGATGCTGCCCAGGCGGGATGCTGTGGAGCTGACTCCCACACCCATGTTTCTGACCACTGTGGGGTATAGCTCAGCTGTGTACACGTAGACCATGGAGAAGGCAGAAGTGATGCCAAACTTCCCTATCATCACCAGGACTGTAGCCAAGTAATACAAGTCTGGAGGGGCAAAGGAAAGAAAGTAGACACCAACTTAGGCTATGCTGCTGTTGAGAGTTCCATTTCCTTTTTTGCCTTGGGGTCAGTTTCTATAACTTCCTGAGATAAGGGGCCATACCGAAGATTTCACCCCAAGGTGGTTCCTGAAAGGAGACTGGGGACCTACAACTATGTGGATATATACTGTCCTCAACTTAGAAGCCACCAGATTAAGCTCTTCACAGCCCAATCAACCTGCCTTCTAGTGCAGAAGTCATTACGGACATGTCTGTTGGGGAGCTGTCTGTTCTGTCACCCCAGAACTTCAGACTGCAGGTGCTGCAGAATTAACTAATGATTCTAGATAAATGGAGAACTCAACTCTAACTCATTTCATGGTTTAATTCTACTCAGTCCTCAAAAACATTTAAAAACCATCTGAACTTTGGGATGATACTCCAATCTATCCTTCTTGCTATCTAAACAAGGAGACATGAGGGTCCTTCTGAGCTCAGATCTGAACTTCTACATCCATTCTGGGGCTCCACAATACATCCTCTGCTCCTATGCAGAAGGTTCCCAGCCTGATGGGACCTAAAGTGACTACCAGAGAATCCCAAACCCATGGGTGCACTGAGGACTCCAGGCACAGTGATGGACAGATGAGGGCCCACTGACTTTCCTAAAATGGGTCAGAAAGGGCTCCTCCCACCAATCTGTGGGATATGAAGACAATTTTAGAAAATCCTAACCATGACCTCTGGGACCTCCTCCTCCTCTCTCCCTCTCAGTTCTCACTAGTTCACTCAAGCATGCCAGGCTCACTCCCTAACCCGTTTTTGCTTGTCTCTTCTTCCTGAAATGTTCTCCTGGACTTTCTCATAGCTGAACTGCCCCCTATTTAGGCAGCTGTTCATGACCACTCTTATGTAAACTAGCTCCCCACTATACTTTATTTTTATTCATAGGAGGAAAGACAATCTGAAAAATAAAGAGCCTTCTATGTTTTCTCAACTAGGATGTGGGCTTCCTGAGGACACTAGTTTACATCTGTATCATTAGTACCAAGCCCAGTGCCTAGCCCACAGTATGTGCTCCACAGCATTGGCTGAATAAATAAAGCAGGGCTGGGAAAAGTAATGGGGATGCCCCCCCCCCATTCTGGAGAGGAAAATGAATATAAACGCATTAACCTGGATTTAGAGTAAAATTAACCAACAGTTTCAATGGGTGTTCCTTCCCATCCCTTCAAATCCCTGGCCACAAAGAATGTTCTGGTCTCACTAGGTACTTTTTCTTGATTTTCAGGCTAAGGATGCATATATGCAGGGGATCTGTGATGGGCTTCATTTTATTCTTTGAATTAACTAAGGCAGGTAGCCTGGTAGAGAGTGGGTGACTCAATGAAGACCTGAGACTGCTGATGCATATGTTCCCTACCTGGGGGCACCAGCTGCACGAAGAGAAGGACACTGCCACCCAGGAAGAGAGCAGTGGCCATGGAATAGCGCCGGGGCACATGTTGCAGCAGCAGCCAGGCTAACACGTATGCTGGGACTTCAACCACCGCCGAAAGAAAGCAGTTCAAATAGATGTCTCCATGCAAGTTAGGAGTATCAAGGGAAAGTCCAAAGTAGCCCACTGCAATGGTCAGCCTGCAATGGAGTGCAGAAGAAAGCTGGAGAAGCAGTATCCACTCTCCCACCTGCACAACTTGAAAAATGCAATTACTTCAGGATGTTCCAAACTACCCTAAGCAGAGACTAGGAAGGCAGCAGTAGATTTAACCCCAAACCTTACTTCGCAGAAGAAAAGATAACTCCCCCCAGCCCAAGTGGTACAATGGTAAGTTCCTGTTTCATGCATTTTGAGAGTATGCCAAATACCAAGGGTCCCAGCCAAAGGACCAGATTTACCTCACTAAAAGAATATTCCAGCCTGCCTTTCAGCCTCAAAACCCCTGAGATGAAGACTTTAGAAAAGCCTATTTCCCTATTCTATGAACCTCTCCAAACCTAGCAACTGCAGAAGGAGGTAGGGAATGAGTAAGGCAGTAGACACCAAGTCAGGAGCAACAGGATTGGAAAGATAATATTAATAAAGTGCATCATTAGATAAAACATTTGGAGAAAGACCCCCAGCAGATGATTGGTGGTGACCAGCCAGTAAGGGCCTGGTCAGAGGCAACTGGCACCACCCCCACTGTACTGTGGAGATAAGAGGGAGAGAGATGGTGGGGCCACAGCCTCTCATCTGCATGTCCTCCACTGTTTCCTATGCCCTTACTGGGCCCTCTCCTCAGTAAGTATTCTCTGTTGATGACCCAGACCTTTATGCTGTTACCATGGAGGAAAAGAGTATGTCCACAGTTCCTGGGAAATTTAGAGAAGGGAGGAGTGGCTGGGTAAACCAAAAGTGGGTGACTCATCATGGGTTGGCATGTCTAAGGTGCAGGCTACACACTAGTCCTGTCTTGAGGCAGACCTGGGAAGCAGTGCCCTGCCCTGGGGTACCGTGGCCCATTCCTTGGAAATGGGTGACTCATAGTGCATCCCAGTGAGCAAAATGATGGGCTCCCCAAAGCTGGTTGGTAGAGAGCAGTGGCCATGGAAGAGCGCTGGGGCACATGTTGCAGCAGCAGCCAGGCCAACACGTATGCTGGGACTTCAACCACCGCCGAAAGAAAGCAGTTCTCATAGATGTCTCCATGCAAATTAGGAGCATCAAGGGAAAGTCCAAAGTAGCCCACTGCAATGGTCAGCCTGCAATGGAGTGCAGAAATGAAGTCTGCCTCTGCCCTCCTCACCCATCCTATCACTATTCACCCAGGAGGCTTGAAGTCTCCTATAATCCCAGGGTCTGGATATGAGAAAAAGCTATCCAGACTCTCAGATGTGTTCCTTCTCTCTGGTAACTCACACATTCCTTCCTGACTCTTCATGAAGTGCCTTGTTAGATGGGATCTGGTGAGGACATTTAGGCCATGGCCCTGACTCCAGGATAGTCTCTGAACATCCCAGAAGGAGCATATCCCACTTCCACATTTCCAGAAAGTCCTTAGACGTCTCTGTAGCCTTAAAAGACAATGTGTCTTCACTCAGATCCTTCTTAAAAGCCCCAGCTGGCCTGCTCAGACATTATCTGTGAGTAGGTAGAAGGGAGCAGGGGACAACAACTACTAAGCAAGGACGTGAAGTAAGCAATGATTCACCTCAGGATGTGGGGAGATCCCCAGTGGTCCCTAGTTCTCAAACAGCCTCCACCACAGTTTTCATTCTCTTTTTCTGAGGTTCTATTACATTAAGAATTATGACATGCCAATTTCTTCCATCCATCACAGGACACATCCCTTTCATTTTCTGATGACACAGTCTCAATTTGGATCTGAGGCACATCTGCAAATAAGAGGCTCGAGAGCTACCTCCAGAAGCTGATTGCCTTCCTTTACTGAAGCCTCAGGTATGTCTCACTTACGCACCACAGGATTATGGACATGATAGTGACTATTCGGATATTTCGGGTTCGGAACAGATCCAGGATGCGGTGGGACTGCTGCTTCTTGGAACGTAGGTCTTGTAACTGCAGGGACAATATGATTGGGGGCATGGGAAGGAAAGAAGGTTGAAGACTCAGAACATACAGTAACATAACGTAAACCTGGCATCATAGCTATCTTGCTTCTCAGAGTTAGGGAGTGTGTTATCTTTCTTTCTTGAAAAGAACAGTAGCATAGTGACGATTTTGGGATGCTAAGTCTTCCTCAGGTCTTTGTCAATAACAAAGACAATGAAAATGAGGAGTAAAGGGAAGTGACCAGTTCCTCAAAGAGCCCAGTGAAGTCGGAGGCCCAAGCAGACAGTTCCCTTGCTGCACCATCCCCATCCACCCATCAGTGGCCACATTCCAGGGAGGCCTCTAAGCATTCCTTCCTAAGGCTGGCTCCCTGCCCTCTGGGTCAGAGAGAGAAACTGGCTGTGCAGTTTATTGATATGACATTTTAAAAAGATTCATGTTTTGAGTCCTCCTACCATGTAGTTACTGGTCTGCTTCCAGGGGGGAAAAATTCAAATTGAAAAACAGGAAAATTGACCTGAGCTTCACCCAGAGTAACTTCCTATGAAATTCAGCACAGCCAAGGCCATTAATAAACCACATGTCTAAACATACTGATGTTGCTTTCTTAAGCAAACCCAGCTTTGGAGCTTGTTTTTCCCAAGTTAGAAGTTCAACAAAAGGTCAACTTTGGACTTAAAGGATCCCCTGAAATAGCCTCATTTCCTCAGAGATGCTAGTGGGGCTCATGGGTTCACAGAGACTGGTTCCTCACTTAAAAGTCACCAAGGCCAACTCATTTAAAAGCCTTCTGTGAAACACTCCTGCCCTAACCTCTGCTCCAGAGCTCTTTCCAATACGTGCTGAGTGAGAGCTGTTGCTAAGCCACCACTTAAGCTGGATGCCATCAAGGCTGTTGTTGGCCACTGGCCTCTTATAACTGGTCTCTCTCGAGCCTGGAGTCTGCATCCTGAGTCTCGAGAGTCTCTAACCCACCGGCTGCTCACACTTCAGCATGATTGCTTGAGGCTCTTCCCACAGCCAGTCCCTAGTCTTCCTGTCAGACCACAGACAGATTCCAGAACCATATCAGTCAGCATTTACAGATCCTAACCTCTTGTTGTAGTCATGAGTTTGAGGGAAATGTCTGATGCAGAAGGGCAGGAGAGGGAACAGGAAGGAAAAGCAAGAACCAGGAACAAGGCAGAGCCAAGAAGTGTTCATGGTGTGTGAGAACAGGGTTTGCAGAAAAGTGGAGAAGGAAGAGATGGACTTCAGAAGGGACCTGGCTTAAAAATGATATGCAACAACTAACCACTGAGGGTGAAAACAGGCTGAACACTGCCAATGGCAAATCTAGTTGTGGTTTTTTTTTTTTTTTAATGCTATGTGCTGGATTACCTTTATGATGACAAATCACCTTAGGCATGAGAAACAATGATTTCCTGAAATGCTGACATTGTGTAAGGTCTATTTCTCATAAAGGATGTATTTTATTTATTTTATTGTATAATTGCCTAGAAAGTAAAATGTATGAAAACCTAAAAACCATGGGAAAGGAGAAACATGTTAGGCAGTTGGAAACTATTACTCAACTAATGAGTATTAAAACAGGGCATGTCTCAGGGAGACATAGGGCTCAAGTTGGGCTGTGTGCTGCCATCCTCAAATCATGACCAGCGTAGCCCCCACTAGTTCCCACATGGTGCTTACCTCACTAGGGTCAAAGATGGTGGAGGGTGCAACAATTCCATTGATTTTGGCAGCTTTGCGAATGATCACCTCAGCCTCTTTGTATCGTCCCTGAGAGATGAGCCATCGAGGGGACTCAGGGATAAACCTAGAAGTTCAAATACAATCTCAGTGAGGCCTCCTGCCCAACAGCTGCCCAACAGACCAGTATAGTATAACTGGAAGTGGGAAATGAGTTTTCAGATCCAAAATTAGGTTTGTAGAGTGTTACATGTTCACAAATCAGAAATAAAGAGATGGTCCACACCCAGTAAACCTGAGGTGCAAGCTCTAGGGTAGGCTATGGTGTATAAAACTTGGAGGGCCCTGCACAGGCTAAGGGGATTCCTACACTGGCTGGCCATCTTCATTTATGAAGGGTGGTGGTGCCCCCTGCTGGTTCTAAGAAGACAGGTACAAGATGGGATCTTGAAGCCTGGCTCCTGTTGAGGGCTCAGCCAGCCCTTGCCCTACTATATTCATTTCCTGTCCCTAGCATCCACAGAAGCTTCTGCACTGGCCCATTGATCTCTATTTTCTCCTTACCCTTCCCCTAACTTATCCAACATACTTGGCCTCTGTACCTAGAGTAGCCTGGAGCCTTGGCACTCACCAAGACCAGGTAGCCCTACAGACATAACTAGGTCCCATGATGAAGTATTTTCTTTCCCACTATGCCCTGAAATCTTTTCCACTCCTCGTGGGCCAGTAATCTCATCTTCCCTGACTCTAAAGGGTGATTCCTCTTCACTCTGACAAATGGCCTCTTCTCTGTCCAACCAGTCTACATTGCATGGCCTCTGCACAGCCACCCTGAGGACATCACTTTTGGAGCACTCTCTCATCTCCCCATGCCAAGGGATGAGGCCAGCAACACACTGCCAGAACCAGGGCTTTGCTCTGTTGTTCTGGGGTCTGAGAACTTCCTGGAGGTCACACTAGACCCCAGCTTCTCACACCTACTTCTCCCCACACTTAGATCAACCCAGAACAGGGCTGAGAACAAGTCTATTGATGTCTTGGGATTGTTTTGTTTTGGTTCTTCCAAGTGTGAAGAGAAACTCTGAAACAATATCAATAATCACACTTCCTGCCTCTGGGAGCCCAAATTTGAGGGCTGCTGCTGCCCTCTAGTGAAGGCCAGATGGAAGCCACCCTGCTGGAAAATACAGGGCCACACTCACCACCAGAGCGCAGCACACAGCACTCCGGGCACAGTCAGTGCCAGCAGCAGCATCCGCCAGTCTCTGATGAAGTAAGCAAACAATGGCAGCACCATGAAGCCAAAGGCATAAAATATGCATACTCCTAACGTGGAGAATATAATACGAATTGACTTGCCAAGAATTTCAGTTCCTGTTCAAAACAAGGGAGGAGAGAAGTTAGCACTTTAATTTGGATTATTTTCTTATTAATCTTCCATGGTATCAGTTTCAACATAGAGACAAGGAGGCAGCCAGAATTATTTCTATGTTCCCAAGCCCTAGGGAGGAGATGGATTTGAACCCAGTCCAGTCTGACACACTCCTGGGAGTACCTCACTGAGGCCTCTCAGCCCCTTAGCCGTTGTTCTATTGTGAAATGTCACCACTTTGCTCAGCCATATGCTAAAGATACCATGTTAGCGCCTTTCAATTTCTTATATGAGGAAGAAATCATTAAAGGCAAAGTCATTACTAAGTCCACACATGCTGACTATTATCCTTCGAGGAAAAAAATTCTATTATATGTGAAAAGAAAAAATAATCCAATATAATAATCCAATAATCCAATATAACCCAAGGAACTCAAAGATTTTATTGCTGGAGTCTGATTTCTCCAAACAGTGAGACAGACAACCTTTTCAGCGAGAACAGGCTGGACTGAGCAAAATCCTACAGTGTGTCCTCTGAATCAGAACCTGAAGGTGACTGAGGCCCATTTATGCCCATCCACAGACATCACTGGCCACAGTGCTCTGCAGAGGTGGCAGTTCTCTTCCCCAGCAAGCCTGCCCATCACAGCCCTTACTTCCCTGGCATGCCTCCATCTTGCACCAGCTACCACAGTCTGGGTAGTGGTAGGCTTTAAAAAAGGATGTTTTTCTGGCGAGTTCTAGCAAAATGGCAAAAATTACTAACAAGACCAAGGTGCCACACCTTGGAGGTCAGCAAAGAACCAGAAATCAGAAGTCAGGCTATTGTGCCACTGGGGATCCAAGGCTGGTCACTTGTCTGGCTTAGTTTCCTTGCTGATAAACTGGGTTCACCAGGAAGCTCTGGCCAGTGTTGCTAAAGACCATTTCCCTTTGAGGAACATCAGAGCTGTCTCCAGAAAGGCAGGTGGTGGGATGACAGTGAAACACAGGATCGAGTACTCAACTCCAACTTGATGGCCATACCCAGGACAAATGCTGCCACGTAGTTGGAGATCTGGCCCATGCCTACAAGGACAAACAGCACAGTAAACATCTCGAAGTTCTTTGAGAAGATCTGTAGGAAGCTGAAGCCTGTCTGCATGCCCATGGTCACAAACAGCACGTTCTTCCGACCAAACCTAGAAAGGAAAGGAGAGTCACAGAGAACCAGCTGGGATAGGTAGCAGAAGGGGGTTCCATCAAGAGAAGGGGCTGTGGGCAGTGTTGCCAGTGTACCCAGTGCCCATACAGTCCCAGGTTCCCAGTCCCCATGCTGTTACTCCTCCCCGCTTCCCAGAATCAATGTGCAGCCTGGACACCACAGTCGTTCAAAAGGCAGTGCCACAATTATGTTGATGACAGCAGGGGACTGAAACACATCAATTATGCTTAAATCATGCATTCACAATGATGTTTTAAAAAGAATCATATCATCTACAAACAGTGATGATTTGATCTCTTTCCTTCCTATTTTTCTTTCTTTTATTTCCTTCTCTTGCCCAATTTCTCTGGCTAGAATTTCTAGTGCTATATAGAATAAGAGTGATGAGAATGTTCATCCTTCTCTTGTTCTAGATTTTAAAAGAAATCTTTCAGTTTTTTCCCCATTCACTATGAAGTTGGCTTTGGGTTTGTCATATGAAGCCTTTATGATGTTGAAGTAAGTGCCTTCTGGCCCTAGTTTCTTGGGTGTTTTTATCATGAATGGGTGCTGAAGTTTGTCAAAGGCTTTCTCTGCATATATTGAGATGACTATTGTGATTTTTGTCCTTGATTCCTCTTATGTGATGAATTCTACTAATTGATTTGCATATGTTAAACCGTTCCTGCATCCCTGGAATGTGGCCATGATGTATAATCTTCTTAATATGTTGTTGAATACAACTTGCTAATATTTCATTGAGGGTTTTTGTACCTAAGTTTATTAGGGATATTGACCTGTAGTGTCTGTAGTTTTCTTTCCTTGATGTAGCCTTATTTGGTTTTGGTAACAGGGTAATACTGGCTTCATAGAATGAATTTGGAAGTGATTGGCTCCTTTCTATTTCTAATAATTTCAGGAATACTGGCATTAGCTCCTCTTTAAAGTTCTTGGAGAATGCATATGAGAGTTCATCTGGTCCTGGGCTTTTCTTTGTTGGAAGGGTTTATTATTATTATTATTATTATTATTATTATTATTACTGTTTTGATTTCATTACTTGTTATTGGTCTGTTTAGTTATAAACAATCCTTTTGGTTCAATTTTGGCAGGTCTGTACTAGTCTAGAAATGTATCCATTTCTTCTAGATCTTCTAATTTATTGGAGTTTAAAATTTCAAAATAGCACCTAATTATGGATCTTTCTCTTGGTCTACTCAGGCTCACACATTAATATCTTTGGGAAACACACTCAGATATAACCAAAATAATGCTTCACCAAATTTCTGGTCATTCATTCTGCCCAATGTGATGCACTTATCTTGTGTAAACTTCCCAGATACAAAACCCTTCCCTAGAATTAGCTTTCTACTCCTCTTATATAGTCTATTTTTTTTTTTTAATGAGAATCTTGTTTTGGGGGATTTCTGATTTCAGGATTTCAACATTCAGGATTTTAACCTTAGAATTGCGATTTTTCAGGATTTTAGACTTTAGGGATTATGGCATTTGGGATTGTGTCTTTGGGATTCTTCCATGAGGAAGTAGTTATTTTAAGAGTCACACTAGTTAGTTTAGTGGTTACTTATGGGTAAGGGAGGATGCTGTAATTGAAATGGGGCACCTGGACAGGGCTTCTTGATGGACAACAAAGTTCTATTGCTTGCTTTCGTGGGGGTTACAAGATTATTTTTGTGGAATAATTCCTTAGGTCACACATTTGTTTGGTGTAGTTTTCTGTTATCTATGCTCATTTAAAAAGTACAAGTTGATGTTTTGTTTTGTTTTAGATGGGTTTACTTAAAATAGAGTATCACAAACAGGAGGAAGAGTCAATCTAGTGGGAAGATTACATCTATCGAGCACTAGCTGACACCCACCTTATTCAGTGAGTGTACTGAGTATCTATTGTCCTAGGCACTGGGGACATTGCTTAAAAAAAGATGCACTGTCTCTACCCTCAAGGAGCTTATAGTTTACTTGATGAAAACATCAGTCACACTTTCATCAACAGACAAACTGCTGAATATGCGATTACATACCCAGACAAGTACACTGAAGAAATGGCTCCCAGGTCCACAAAAGTTCAAAAAGGCACTCATCCAGAACTGGGGTGGGGCTGGGGACTGGGCATTGGGGGAGGGTCTCCCTGACAACAGGACAATGATGAGTCCCAAAGGGAAAGTAGCTGGTTGAAAACAGGGGATTAAGGGTATAGAAACCAAACTTTCAAAGATACTCAGTCTGGTGTTGAAGGGAGACCAATATAAATCCTATGACAACACTTCATCTACCGACTTTTAATAGGTACTATGATGGAAAGTCACAGGAACCAGAGTATTGTAAACCTTCTATCCTGAGGAGCCCTGGGGGTGGCATGGGGAACACTATAGACTCTGAGAAGGACACACACCACTGTGGCTGGAGGGGCACAACAAACATGGGCTGGCATCATCTACGCCCAGATTTCAGAGGGAAGTAGGAACTAGACTGCGTGGGGCCTTGCAGCTGTGTGAGAGAATTTGGTGTTTTCCTTCAATGTAACAGTTTTTTTTTTGTTTGTTTGTTTCTTTGTTGTTTTGATTGTCACAATTCAGGCAGGGGGTGCTAATAGCACCTAATGGGTAGAGGCCAGAGATGTAGCTAAATATTCTAAAAAGCCTAGGAAAGCTCCCCACCACAAAGAATTATTTGGCTGAAAACATTAATAGAGCTAGGTTGAGAAACCCCGGTGGAGAAGGATTTCCACCTGCATTGTTCTGTAATGAAGGTGCTCTGCTGGGAGCCATTAGCCAAGTAGGTATGACAATTTCCTTGCCAGCGTACCCCATGTTGCTGACATGTTGCAGTGACATTGAATGTAAGTGACCTTGCTCAAGGACCAAGGCAGATTAGGGTGTTCCCGGTTTTAAGATAATCTTGTTTAGGGCGTTCCCAGTTTAGGTTCCAGGTTTAAGGTTTAAGATTATTCCTGCTGGGAATAGGGCGTATCCTGCTGCCTGAGTTCCCCTTGAGTTCTCACGGGATTTAGACAGTATATTTTGGAGATAGAAGCCCAGTGGAGGTGAATTTGGGAGAGAAGGAGGATTTGGGAAGAGAACGTGGATTTCCCCAGAACGTGATTGTAGACGGCTGGTGTGAGTTCGGGAATAAAGAGTTGCTGTTTGAACCTACAAGCTGTGTGGTGGCTCGTGATTGTGTGCCCAGCCAGACTGCGGCATTTGTGCCCAGCCAGACTGCGGCAGTGCTCTACACACCAGTGGAGGGGAGGTGAAAGCAAACTAACTACACAGCACACTGGTATAACCTCTGCCCCACTTCCCTGTCCAAGGTTCCCTAAAATGGTAGAGAAAAGAAGGTCCAGGAAGCTCTTAAGCAGCATCAGTCCTTGGCATTTGGGAACTGTAACTAGAAAAGCTTGCTTTTAAGTCTGTATGCAAAGTGGTAAACACACACATTTCTACAAAAAACAGGACATATGAGTGCTTCTCAGTGAGTGCTGTGTCTCTCATGATTCATAAAGATGACTGAATAACGTCAGATAAAAGGCTTTGGCAATCCAGGATTATTTAAATTGCTCTTGAACTTCAGACTTAATAATACACCAGAAAGAAGGATAAACCTTTGTCCCATATCAAGAGTTACTGTTGAAGGCATGACTCTATTGCTCTTAGGTAATTTCTTTGGCTTGCTTAGAGGCAGTGAGGTCAGAAGTGTTAATCCCACAGAGGACTAGGACTTCTCTGGTAGTACAGACAAGCTTGAGGGATGGTATTTAGAGCTAAAGGCAGGGGCTACAGTTAGATCAGCCACACTTTAACTATTCCATTTCCTGGACTTAACTGATTCTACTTAAAAGAAAGTTCTGCTACCAAAAATTTAAAAAATGTTTGAAACGTAGTATGTTAGCCTCTCTATAGACTAAGGTGATCCTCCACATACTCATGAATTTTGTTTCCCTTGTTTCCTTGGAAGTAGACCTTTTGGAAACTTCCCTCAGGTGACCATGGTGTTACATGGTAAGCAGGTTCTTAAGATGACCCATAAAGATCTACTTCAGCCATGACACAGTTGATCCAGAAAAACACATCAATTTTCCACTGTGAACTTGGGGAACTAGCTCCTCTCTGTTCACATTAACGCAAGTCCTCTGAGCCTCAATTGCCACTCCACTCCCAGAGAGTTTCCCCCATCTCCTAAGCTCGGTCCTGACCCTCTCCTTCTTACTCTGCACTCTCCTCTGGCCCTTATGTCTATGTTTAGGGTTCCGACGAGGGAACTACATGTGACAAATTCCCAAATACACTTCTCCAGCCTGAACCTCTCTCAAGGTGCACCATACCCATACATCCAAACACATACTCAATTTCTCCACTTAGGGGTCTCATAGTCACCCCCAAATTGGTATATTTCGATTAAACTCAACATCTCCAGCAGATATGGTTCTCTTCCAGCATTCTCTGTCTTAAAGAAGGGTATCATCTTTCACCTAGTTAGGCAGGCCAGAAACCTTCCTCCCCTCCCTTTCCACTCACCCATTAGCCAAGTCCTATTGACTTTACCTCTCTAACCCCACACCCTCTTAATTTGTCTTTCCACAATCCCTCCTGCTTCACTTCAATCCTTCCTCCACAAGGCTGCCATATCTTTTTAATTTTTTTTTTTAGTTGATGGACCTTTATTTTGTTTGTTTATTTTTATGTGGTGCTGAGAATCAAACCCAGTGCCTCACACATGCTAGGCAAGCACTCTACCACTGAGCCACAACACCAGCCTGGTTGTCACATCTTTAAAAAATACAAATCTGCTCACTACACTCGTTCAATAGCACCACACTGTTCTGTCACTGAAGCCCAAACTCCTCACCATGGTGTGCTAAGCTGTGCTTGATCTTTTGCTCAGACTCTGCCTGCCTGGGAGCCCTCATGTATATACCACTCTCTGTTTCTACCACACTGAACTTTTTTTTTTCCTATTCCTAAGCCTCCTGTCTAGGCTTTAGTACATGCTGTTCTTCCTGCCTAGAATGCTCCTTCTTCTACCTTTTCAGTGAGCTAATTTCTACTCATCTTTCAACTCTCAGCTCATGCTTCATTCCTCAGGGAATCCTCCTGTGACTCCCCCTTTAGACACTCTGCAGCACCCTGTACTTCTCGATATCACTCCCCATGGCCAAGTATAACAATAATTTTCTCATCAGTAGTAGGATACATTCTGCTTTGCTAGAAGGTAAGTTCTAGGAGAGCAGGGCCTTGGAGCAGTAGTCCACACAAATTGGAGGATCAAGACTATCTGGGTCTAAAGCTTAACTTTGACCTTGCTGCTGAGTATCCTTGGGCACATACATTATCTAACCCATGTTTTACTTCTCCACTTATAAAATGGGAATAATGATAGTTCCTACTTCCTAGGGTTATTAGGACACAATTATTTGGTTTTCTAAAAAAATCCACTTATGACAGAGTATGGCACATATTGGGCACATCTTTGTTAAACCAATAAATAATTAGTCAATGCTTAATACTAGATAAAAAATCTAGAGAAGTAAAGGCCTTTCCTGGACGAGGGCCAGTGTCTCTGACCCAGGTAGAATTGTCAGTCTGTGGTCATAGTCTATTGAACTCTTTAATGCTTACTGGTAACTACAGAAATTTTTCTGATGTTAATCACTAGATGACACTTTGGAAAAGATAGATTTAGTGAGAAATTCACATAAATTTTTCATGGGTAAAGACTTAACAATAATCCATAGATGCAAATTATACCAAAACATTACCCTGAGTTTGTGCCACAAAATAAAGTAGAATTGACCCTAAAGGAAGATGTTCTCATCCTTAACTTCTCTATGAGAGCCCAACCAGCCAGGAGGATGCTGGTTAACCTTTTTCCTGGGTGACACAATGATTCTGTGGGTGTTTCCTTTGTGGTACTGTGGCCAAGGACTTGCTGAAGGCCATTGTTTTCAACTTCAGGGTTCTGTGACAGACCCTGAAGCTTCAGAGAAGTAAATATAGCACAATGGACCCCTTGGTGGATGGGGGAGCTTATATATAGTCCCTAATATTTTGCACATATTTCTTTTTTTTATTTTAGTTTCACCTGATAGTACGATGATCTTGACATATCATACATTTGAATCAGATGGGGTTTGATTTCTCATGTTTTCTGAGTGTACGGGTTGCAGAATCACATTGGTCATGCAGTCACGTATATACATACAGCAATAATAATAACTATTTTATTCTGCTGTCCTTCCTTTCCCCTCTTCCCCTCCCCTCCCCTCCCATCATACTCTCTACCCAATCTAATGTGACACACTTCTTTTTTCCCCCTCACATCATCATACATGTATTCTGTATAACAATGAGGGTCTCCTTCCATCTTCCGTGCAATTTCTCTTCTCCCTCCCTTTTTTACACATATTTCAGTGGTTTTTTTGGATACCCTACGCCGGAATGGACCCTGAGTTAAAAGTTTTAGAATTGGGTTGTGGTTTGATCCTTAGCACCATATGAAAAAATGTAATCAACAAAATAAAGTTATTGTGTCCATCTATGTACAACTAAAAATATATTTTTTAGAAGTTTTAGAATTATGCCAATACCCTGCTTATGACAAATGCGTAAAGAAAATATTTGTTCTTCTTGTCTTACAGTAAGTGCATAACCTCAGGCCTCTTAGTTAAGGGGCCTCAGTCTTGAGGACATAAAAGAGTTCTGCACTTCACACCTCTGCTGGCTGGTGAGATCTCTCACCTTATACAGAGAATGCTGTTTTTCTTGGGAATTCAGAGGTAGCCATCATGGTACAACCTACAGATCATTTGCCTCTTCCATCTCAGGGACATCAGAGTGCCAAATCATCCAACGAAAATGAGCCAGGCTAGTACAGAAGTGAATCATGGAATAAAAATTGGTCACTGCATCATGGATACACTCTGCTTAGATAGATCAGGTTTCTTTACTTGGCAAGAGTTAGAGAGAGGGGACGAAGAATGTTAGCCTATTTGACTTGGTATGGAGTTTATACCAGACACAGCTTTCTGTTCTTTTAAAATATAAGGCCCTCAGCTGAGAGAACAGTACAATCTGAAGTCAAGGCCAGGCACGTGCTACTTGCTTGGTGCCATGGTGCCCTGCAGCTGCAGGAGGCAGACACCTTACCTGTCTGAGAGCTGCCCAGAAATGAAAGAGCCCAGCAGCACACCCACAAAAAACAAGGAGATGGTAAGCGGGGGCTTCCAGTCATCTTCACACACCAGGTTCCACTGAAAGAGGAGCAAAGGATATATCACTCACCTCTTTGAAAAAAGGTCTTAAATTTAAGGTTTCTTGGAAAATGAAATCAGGATGTTCTACATTCCTGCATGATCTGGTGTAAAAATTCACCCAGGCAATGGTCACTTGAGTAGCAGAGCAGACAGCAGGTGACCTCTCCCTCCCCATCCTGTCTTTCATAGTTTGGGCTCCATTATCTTGCTTCCATTGAGGAAGAAAGAGAGGCAGGGAGTAACATTCTGCCCAAATGCCAAACTCATGTAGCAAGTTCTCTTATGCTCATGCCTAAGAATGTGGACAGAGTCCAGAACTGTGGAGGGGGCAGAGTATGCTTTACTCAGTGGGCTTCAAGCCACTGGAGGGGTGAGGGAGTGGTGAGCCTAAAGGTCAAAGCATCCTACAAGGGTCTGAGCACAGTGTACACCATCTAGACCCACTCCGTTAGCTCTGCTCACACTTCCAACCTGGGCCAATGACCTCTATCCTTATTTTGATATTTGGAGCTAAAATCCAAATGCTCTACACCAACAATACTAGGCCCAACTGCAGTTGAGAGCTCTGAGCTGGGAGTTAGGAAACTCAGTTTTAAGTTTCACTCAAGTGTTAGCTTCTTATCTAACCTCAGACAAGTCCACCCTACCTCCCACAACACACACACATACTGTGCCTAAACTTTCCTGTTGTAAGACAAGAGACTGAGGTAGGGAACAGGCTATGCTGCTCAAGTTTCCATACATAGTGTGTGACTCCCTCTATATTATTACTAGGAACAAGAAAAGAGATCTGCAGGCAGGAAGGAATACATGGGGATTAAGTTAGACACAGACTTTAGGTTATCCCAGCCTAATGAACCAAAAGAAGAAAGCAAGCTGAAACAAGAAACTCTGGTTTCAAGAAAAATGTTTTCAGAACAGAGACTGCACACGGTAGTAACCTTGCAGGCTTCTCACATGCACGGTCACCCTTCTGGGAATTCAGACCCTTGCTAGCTTGGCACTAGGCTACTGCCTGCCTTCCATGGAGCCTGCTGGTTCCCCAGTAACCAACAAAGACAGGGGGAAGGTGTAGATCCTGGAACAAAGCATCTCTTACAGGTCAGCAACAGAGGCTGAAGCAAGTCTGCTCTGCCCTGTTGGGCTGTGTGTGCACATAGCCTCTGCACACCTTTAGAGGAGTTGGATGTCTGGGCACAAAGAACACTTGCAGTGACAAGGTTCTCTCAGGTGCTGCTGTCTCTCCACTTTGGAATAAGCATTTGCCTGGATGGGCTGAGTATGGTGATGATTCCCAACCCAGGGAAGAACTGGGGTCAGTGAACACCCAAATGTGGAGGAAGCCTAGCAGGAGTCAAGGACCCTGAGTACCTAGACTAGAATGCTCAGGATGCTACAGCCTTCCCACCTGTGCACCTCAGTGATGACATCTCTTTGGCGGGTAGATGAGTGTCCTAGGGCAGGTCCAATCACCCATGGCTGCTAAAGCCAAAACTGGGAATAGTGGGGAGACAAAGCTGAGGGAGTCATGACAGGGTGCCAGCATCTAAACTTCAGGAGTCAGATTATGGATACTGAGTATGATGGGATGTTACTTTTGAAACAACAAAGATGAAAAGAAGGATTCAAAGCCAACAGCTGTTTCTCAACAGGTCTACCACAAGGACTTGGGAGTGATTCAGCTAAGTTAGACTAGAGATGCTCACAGGCTTCTTCAGTGAGTTCTGGTGTTGTAGACCCCAGTTGGGTCTCCACAAAACAGGTTTCCCGAGAATATAAGACTAGCAAGGCTGGGGGACACCCAAACCCAGGGCAGACGGCTCTTCAAAGGACAGGATGACCACAGACATCTTGGGATTGGCCTGGAGCATCTCAGGCTCCTCATTCCCCCTCCTCCCTTTGGTACATCCTGTCCTAGGTCAAGGCAAGTGCGTAAGTTACAGTGCCCTCTACCCACCACTGAGTGCCCTTGACAACTCTTAGAGTCTGGCTTTGGGCTCTCTGGAAGCCAACTTACATTAAGGTCTCTTTCTTCGTGACCACAGAGGGGTCTGTGAGTAGGGTCAGGAAAGGTGATAGGTCTCAAAAATGAACACAAAGAGCAGGCATGAAATCGGTCCCACCAACCAGCCAATCAATCCATTCACTTACCTGCCAACCACCAGACAGACTTCAGTGGACTCTAGGACATGGTCTGAATCCTCCTGAGGGTGGGGAGGGGGTAAGAAGCCAACAGAGTCTAGGCTAAGTACTTCGCACTTAATGTGTCTGCGAAGGAACATAGTATTCTATACTGAGCTCCCCAACTACCTAAATCAGCTATAGAACAGCTTTTTGATGTCTCTACTTGGGCTGTACTGGCTGATAGCAACAAGTGTCAATGTTCAAACAGAATGTGTGGACTTGAGATTTAGGACCCAAGTCTAGCATCATTACCTCTCAGCTGGGTGGGCTGGGAAAGCAGGTCCAACTTGAAAGAATCTGGGAGCAACTTTGGTGAGGGGCCTAGACTTGCTGTTCTTCCTGGTCAGAACTGAACCTTTCTAGCAATGATGGCTTCAGAGTTATATATATGTTATGTGTCTGAGCTTTTCAAGTTGTGCACTTTAGATATTTCATTTTCTTTATAAATTTATGCCTCAAGGTGTTAAACTTTTTATGAGAGGGAGAACTGTTGAGAGCCACAGCCGAAGGGGCCCCAGCAAACTTCCAGCTGCCAGCAAACTTCCAGCTGCCAGCTGATGATTAGCTCACAGCAGCCCCAGGATACCTAGTAAGAATAGTGTTAGGAGAATAAGATAAATGTATCCATAATAATGGACCTTCTTGCCAAAATACTCCTGTAGGAATATTTTTTGTTGGTAGTACAATAAATAATAAAGGCAAACTTATATCAATTCTATCCAAATGCATATTTTCAATATATGTTTCAATGATTTTTAATGCCTTTCTCGCTTCAGGCGTTAACATGCAGGGTGAATTTGGATCTGATGGACCTTTTAGGATATCAAATAAAGGTCCCAACTCTCCTGTTGGTATACCTAGATAAGGCGTTATCCAATTTATGTCTCCTAATAACTTTTGAAAGTCGTTAAGTGATTTGAGTTGATCTACTCGTATTTGAATTTTTGGTGGACGGATCATGGTTGAGGATAATAGAACTCCTAAATAATTAATTGGAAAATTTAACTGTACTTTATCTATTGCTATCTCTAGATTATAATTTTTTAATAAGTTTGTAAGTGTGGCATAACATTCTAGCAATGTGTTTTTATCTTTGTGTGCTAATAATACATCATCCATATAGTGAAATATTTGTAGTTCAGGATTTTGATTTCTAAGTGGCTGGATTACTTTGTTAACATAAATTTGACACATAGTTGGGCTGTTAGCCATCCCTTGAGGGAGTACTTTCCATTCATATCTCTGATCAGGACCTTCATGATTCAGTGCAGGGATAGTAAATGCAAAACGTGGACTATCCTCAGGATGAACTGGAATTGAAAAAAACAATCTTTAATATCTATAACTAAAACATACCAGGTTTTTGGCAAAGCAGACAATTGAGGAATACCCGATTGAGCAGGTCCCATAATAACCATCTCATTATTAATGGCTCTTAAATCTTGCAATAATCTCCATTTACCAGATTTCTTTTTGATGACAAAAATGGGAGTATTATGGGGAGATACAGAAGGTTGTATATGTCCTTCCGCTAATTGTTGTTTGACCAGGTCATGGGCTGCTTGTATCTTTTCTTTAGTCAGGGGCCACTGAGGAACCCATACTGGTCTTTCTGATTTCCAAGTAATTTTTATTGTCTCAGTGGCCCTTTCTGAAAATCCAACCCATGTCTGTCCGTTCCTTGATTTATTTGTATTGGTGCTGCTATACCTTGTTCTTGTTTTTCTAATCTTTTTCCTTTCCTAAAACCTTGTCTAGTCATAATAGTGGGTGCATTTTGGTTGATGTTATTTGTTAATGTCAAACCTAATTGATCTAGGACATCTCGTCCCCATAAATTTACGGGAAGATGATCCAATACATATGGCTGTATAGTTCATTCACATCCTTCAGGATCCTTCCAATCTAATACCATTGCACTTCTATGGGGATTAGTCACCACTCCTAGGCCTTGAAGTGTTTGAGTGGCTTGTTGTAATGCCCAATGTTTTCGCCATTCTTGAGGAGAGATGATGCTAAGGTCTGCACCTGTATCCAGTAGCCCATTAAATTCATGTCCTTGAATATTTAGTTTTAGCATGGGTCGAGAATCTAAATTTAAAGAAAGCATAGCCCAATCTACACCTGTGGAGCCTAATCCCTTGGAACCTCTTTCTACAGTACGGCTGGAAAATTTATCATGTAGGCTGGGTATTATTAGTAACTGTGCTATTCTATCTCCTGGTGAAATTACTGATATACCCTTTGGAGAACTGGCTATAATTTTTATTTCACCTTCATAATCGGGATCAATTACCCCAGGACTTATCATAAGTCCTTTTAGAGTAGAAGCGCTGCATCCCAATAATAAGCCTACTGTTCCTTTGGGAAGAGGTCCTTTTACCCCTGTGGGAATGATTTGAACTCCCATCTCTGGAGTTAGTACTGCTCTGGTGGAGGCGCAGATGTCCAACCCTGTGCTCCCTCTGGTTTGTCTGATGAGGGATCTGATGGACAATGTGTCCTGGGCACTACCCTGATGGGGTTGCTGTGTTCCTCCAGTGCTCCGTATATTTGTGGTTTTGGGCCCCGGAACATTGGGCCCCCCTGTCCATTTTTTGGCAACGGAGCCCGATGCCTTTCTCCACGGTATCGTGGATAAACACCTGGTCCTTGTACCTTGTATGTAACTGGCATTGCTTTTCAATTATGGGATGTACAGAAATAACATAGTTCCCTGGGACTAAATGTTCTTACCTGTGAATTGGCTGGAAGGGAAAAGAGATAGGGTCTGTGCCCATAAGGTGAATATTCTTCCCTGAGATGTACCTAGGCTGAGCGCATCAATGGTCAAGTACACTGGTAGGCACTGTGTGTTACAGAAGACCACGTATTCTTGGCCTGCCTCCCACTGCAATTAATGGTGGATCCTTGCCAGGTATCATGGCATAAGCCTGTATTCCCAGCTACTTAGGACACGGAGGCAGAAGGATGATTTGGGCCCATGGGTTTGAGACCAGCCTGGGAAACATAGAGAGACTTTGTTTTAAAAAAATAAATTAATACTAGATCCTTGCCCCTTGGCCATCAGGGCAAAGACAAAAAAGTATTCGCTACCATATCCTCTACAATGCCTGGTGGTGATGCCCTCTGTGGAGGAGTAGCTCATGAACTGTTTGGTACATGAGTGAATGAGCGAATGGACAAATAAAAGGGCTGCCAACATCATAGGATTCTTTGAGCTTGGTCCTAGGTCTTGTCTCCTCAAAGTCCAAATGAACCCTACATTTCAATCTCTACAATAAATTCTTTTGTTTCCTGACCCCCTTGCCTGTCAACTCTCAGAACTTGGACCCAGGTTGATAGTTCTGAGCTAGCTAGAGAAGGGGCTCAGTCTGACCACTCATGGCCAGATTGGTCCACTATGATTAACTGCTGGGGGTTGGGGGGAACACGGGGTCTAGCAAGTGGCTTCTCTGGTTTGCCATAGGGCTGTAAAGGCATGGGTAAGGTTCTGTGCTTCCCCTAAGAAAGTGCAGCAAAGGCACAGGTTTCAGGTCTCTCTCTCTCTCTGGTCTTTCCAGCCTAGAATCAGTCTGGCCCAGCTTCCCAGGGTGCTGGGTTTTTTGTCCACATAGGCTTGTGGATAACAGTGGGGGCTCTCCCATCTCCCAAGACCATCTAGGCACGAAACAAGACTGAAAGAAAAGCTAATTCAGGAAAAAAGCAAGTGAGTCAGAGTCCTGCCAAGGACTGGGCCCTGGGGTTTCTGGAGAGGAGGGACATGAAGGGAGCAAGGTGATGCAGAGGACTGCCAGGTCTCAGCTGAAGGAGCCCCAACTTGTAGGTGCCAGAAATTTTAGAAGTTTCTCAAAGACACTTTCTGCCTGCAGGTTGGTTTGGGCTGTGTTGAAATCAAAGAACAGGTAGGCCCTGCAGCCTGAAAAATTAACCCAGTTCCCAGAGGAAGGGGACAGCCCTGGTTTGAGAAGCACTGAAAGGTGAGCTGGATGATTGAGGGGCCAGAAGAAGGGTCTGCTAGAAGTATGTGTATCATTAAACCACTCGTGAAACATGGGTGCATAAATCTCTTTCACCTCATAGTGTCCCCTTCTTTCTGCTAATCCTAATGCCTTGATCCAGATACACACAGCACCAAGCTCTAGTCAATGGGGTGGAGAATCACTGTTCTTTTAAAACATTCTAGTCAATCCTTTTGGCTTCTTCCAAGTTTCCCTTCTATGAATTAAACTAGCCATTTTTCTTAGTTCTTAAATTTCAGATTTCTTAAATTATTCATTAAACTATTCTGTAAAAAATTTCCCAAATGGAAATTTCCCCTGCATTCAATACTGTGTGGAGATAAGGGAGATGCAAAGTTGGACTCTAACTTGAAAAAAGAAAAAAAAGAAGAGCTGAGGTTTTAGTTGTCTATCAAATATGAATAGATACTCAATACTAGTGTATTACAAACACCTCTATGTTTCCTTTGGGTCAGAGGGCAGGCTTGGAGACATTAGCAAGCATGGGACTAGCTGCAGCAGTCAGCAGGCCTGTCTGGGTTGAAAGATAATGAGCCTTAGAACAAGTCATCAGAATGTTGATGAAGCAGCTTCCAATAGTGACTATTCCCTTAAGAGGAACCAGCAGCCTTGAACTTCCAGTCAAGCATTCCAGATCCCAAACAAAGAGCTAGGTAAAGCATTAATCTTGCCTCCCTGCAAATACTGACCTGTAAGTAGGTAAAAGTGCACATAGCTCTTGCGAAACTGCTTACACAGCTAAATGAAGTCTAAGCATACATATATAAAACAGTTTGACACTGACAGCAAAGTAGGGTCAGAAGGGTCAGGACAATTCCACATAGCTGGCCACTGAGAGCTAGCTCATCAGTGATATCACCATTCTGGGGAGAAGGTAGGATAGGGACAACAAAGTAGGAACAAATGACTTAAATAAGCAGGAACACTTCAGGTTAGGGGAAAACCCCAAGAGGTACCATGACCTGATTCTGACCTCAGGCCTCCCCTTTCTTTAGGCAACCACAAGTAGAATTTGTAGGAACTCCTAGATCATGGAGCCTGGCTTCCTTCTGTGATCTATGCCTGCAACCCCAGATACAGACTCTGCTTTCACAGTTTTCACTGGCTTCCGGGGAGATAACAGACACACTTGTGAGTGTATAAAACAGAATTTGGGACAATTTGAAATTCTGATTCTTTGTGCACTCATGGGTCACAAAGCAGTAGGCTGCTTCCACTTAGTGACTCTTTTGTCAAGGAGTGATGCTTCAGGACACTGGAAAGATGTCACTACTGGAAAGATGTCACCTAGTAGGGTGAGAAATCCCAGTGGGGCTTACTTAGGTCACATTCCTCTTACTTTTATATGGAGTGAGCAGATATAGGTGCTGAGGATGTCAAACTTCTAAATAATTACAGAAAACACATATGTACACACAGTGAGTCTCCTGGGGCAACTCTCAGACTCTACTCTTGAAGAGTGACAGCCCTCAGAAGCAACAGACCTTGGCCTTCAGAGTCCCTGTAAGGTTCTTTGATGCTCTAGGAATATCAGTACCTGCCTCCAGCAGGGTGTGATGCCAGGCCAGACCCATGACTTCTGCCATCATTCCTTTCCCTCTGCCCTCCTGCTACATTTTCCTGTGATTGCCATCTTGAACACACTGAACTCATTCAGAGGCAACCTCCTCAAGGAAGCTTTCCTTAACCACAAATTCCTAATCTGACATGTAGTGAACCTAGTGGCCCAAAGCCTATCAAGGAGGACTCTTTTCATTGACCTGCTTACTCAGTTCTACTGAGACTCCAGGGAATTAGTGTAATTACCTTAGTAAGTCTCAAAGTACATCCACATGCACCATTACCATCAAATGACTATGGGTTCACCTGGGGACAGATAAAGCTACCCAAAAGGAAAACCCAAGGGGCTGGAGAATAAGAAAGGTACTGCCTACCTTCAGTCCCTATGAACTGAGGTTAGTTATATGCTTTCACTAAATCTGGCCAATTATTTTTGACTGAATACATCATCAGGTGCATGGGTCTTTAAAAAGGTACAGCTTCCCATGGGCCAAAGGAAAACAATTCTTCACAGGGTATGCCCAGACTGTGGAGGGAAGACAGTTTTCTACATATGCTTCCTTTAACTTTAAAAGTTCTGAAAAGAATAGTTATTTCTTTTCTCTGAACAGATGCCAAATGGCAAGTCAAAATGGTGACAAGTCCTGACTCCGCTTCTCATCATTTCCACTACCATCTAGAGAAAAGCTGGATCACTCAGCATCTTAGAGCATCTCCCAAGGGCTGCCAGGGCCTTCTTGGTTCCATCTCCAATGTGGCCATCAGGATTCAGGGCCAGCCTGACACTCTTGTTGTGAGGGTCATGCTCTGGCTGTAAGTCAACTCCCAAGTAACTCCTAAGCCACCTGGCTGGAGGATGCTCATCACCAGGGTATCCTGTGGGATGAGAAGGTGACAGCGTCCTGTGCATACCTGGGGGTGGGAGGGTTCAAAGACCACATCTGTCTGCTCTGTGTCATCAGACCCTGGTGGGGAGCTGCTACCCACCTCGGTCACGATGGTGGACAGGTAGACGTCCTGGCTGAATTCCCAGCCATCCAGGCAGCTCTCCTGCTCCAGCTGCTCCAGGTCCACGTCGCGTCCCGGTTCCAACCCGAGTGCTGAGAAGTTGGAGATGGTAGCTAGCCGGTAGCGGCGGCAGCTGTGGGGCACCTTGCGATCGTCCTGCAGCACCAGCGGGATACTGTGGTTGCGCCACGCGCTGCTCAGATTCGCGGTGTCCGGCACACGGCAGTGGTGCTCCGGGGTCCCCGTCAGAAACACGACTGACATACCGTTGAAGCCATTGGGGATGATGCTGGCACTGAGCAGGAAGAAGATGAGGCGCTGGAAGGGCCCCCACTCGCCCAGGAAGGCGGTCACCTCCTCGTAGTCCCGCATGTTGTCCTCAGCGGCCCGGGGACCACTGGGGACACCGCGGCGCGCGGGGGCGGGGCGCTGCGGGCGTGTGCGCACCCGCCGCCCGAGAGAACGAGCGAGCGAGGAACGCACCGGAGACCCCCCTCCGACTCGGGAGGCTCGCGAGCTCCCGCTGTCGCCGCCACCGCGGCCCGGGTGCCGCGGCCTGCCTTACATAGGGCGCGAGGCCGGGGCGGGTTCCGAGCCTGGGCCGCGAGGCTCGCCCCGCCCCCGCCGGCAGACAGTGCGGCAAGGCGGGGGCCGGGGGAGGGTGACGCGGTGGGCGGCCTCGCGCCGGGTGCGCCCGAGGCAGGGGCGTGGTCTTGCCTCCGGCGGGGCCGAGCGGGGCGCCGCGTCTGTGGGTCTCCGCTGGCCGGCGGGCCAGCTCCCAACTTACTGCCCAGAGAGGGAAGGCGACTGGCCTGGACTCTGAGGGACAGCCCTGCCCTTGACATGGCCTATCTTTATGAGAGTGATCGATTATTCTGAAATTGGGACGCTACCGCAATAGTGAGGCTAAAGCAAGGACTTAGTTCTAACCCCTTTTTGTTTTCTCCTTTCCTTTTCTTTTTCCCTTCCCCTCCCGTCTTCCCCGATGCCTCCTGCATGCTGAGCAACGGCTCTACCACTGAGTTACAACTCCAGCCCTTCACAGGCCCTTTCTATATTTTTGTTCTGTAAGAAATCCTTTTGTTGAAAGGGGTAATACTGGAGAATGATTTTGGCCAAATTATATTTGTTATATTGTGGGCATGGATGAATATGTAACAATAAATCCCGCTATTATGTACAACTATAATGCACCAATAAAAAATATGGAAAAAAAGAACACACTTTATAAAAAAAAAAGTCATTGTGGTGTTCTTTAACTTGTTCAAACAAATGTAAAAATTTAACTTCAAGATCACTAAGGATCCCAGCCCAAGAGTAAATGTTCCCCTTGCAGATTAGTTATTCTTGTACAGTTAACTGAGGAGCTGACTGGTAATTAAACAAAAAACAACAACAACAACAAAAACAAAAACAAAAATAAAAACAGCAATTAAGTGATTCTAAAGCAGAATTGTCTAATAGAATAAGGAGCTGCATTTCTAATTTTATTTCTACAATTTTGAAATGGGTTCTTGAACTCCCGACTGGCGTGATACTCCTCCCCCGACCTCCCAGGTAGCTGAGACTGCTACAGGCAGGAGCCATTGCACTGGCTACTTTTGTAATTTAAAGTTTTCTAGTAGTAATGTTAGTAGTTTTTCCAGAATTAGCCAATAAAAATATACCTAATTAAATTTGAATTTCGGATAAAGAAATTTACTAAAGCAATTTTAGTAAAAGTATGTCCTATGTAGGTATATGTGGAATTTAAGGTAACTGAGTATGCTGTTTTTTTTTTTTTTTTTAAGTTTGGCAATGCTGCATATTTTAAAAGTTTTTGAAGGTGAAATTAATTTTAATAGCATGTTCATTTAATCTAGTGAACCCAGAACATTATCATTGCATTGTATACTCAATATGAAAATTAATAAGATGCTTTACATTATTCTGTAAAAATCATTGACCCACTTTCTTAAAAATTCAATGTGTATTTTATAGCATAATTCAATTCAGTCTAGCTATCCACACTTTAAGTGCTCAGTAGCCAGATGTAGCTAGTTATCTTACTGGAGGGAGGTCTTTAAGAATTTGCACTGCTAAATTTAACATTGCAAGATAGTCCTCTTTTATGAAGATTTTTTTTTTCTCCCCAGTGCCGGGGATTAAACCCAAAGCCTTATGCATGCCAGGCAGCTCTTTCATAATAAGATCGACTTAGTGATAGAAAAAGAACTAAGTATATATTTGTAAAATATAATCTGTTGGTTGAGCAGTATTCAGCAGAGACTGTATTCTAAATTGAAAATAAAAATACAGATGGGGAAGCTAGTGTCACCAATAACTTTTACACAAGGAAATATAAATATTTCCATAAAGCATAGCAGATTAAAAAATATGATAAAAACGTTATCACAAGTACTGGCCATTTCTTTACATATTACTGTTTGGTTTTCCTGCTTCCTTCAGGAAGAACTGTGCCTTCAGAAGTATACTTAACACTTTCTAACATCTTAAGTAAGATTGCTCATCTGGAACTAACTGAAAATAAAAACGAAGCTTATTGAAAATAAACCTCTTTTTTTGTATTCTAAAATATTATTTTAACATTTCAAAATAAATGAAAGCTTCTTATGAAGAAAATGTTGACTGCTGTCCAAATAAACAAGGTGAAAGTCTTATTTTAACATTAGGAAAATATCAGTTGAGCATCAGAAAACACTCCTGAAAGGGTCTGAAAACAATTCAGTGAGCATATCAAAGAAGTGGAAACTTTGGGAAAATAAACAGTTTCCCATAAATGGCTTGTTTACATGTACGAAGTAAAGAACCACCCCAGGCTGTGATTAATATCTGAATGTTACTGCATCTTTTAAAAGAACAAGACAGCTGGGAATCTAAATCAGTTGCTTGAGGCCCTTTCCCCCAAGATTCTATATTAGGATGTTTCTTCCTTTATTTATTTATTTAGTGGTAGGGATGGGTGCTGGGATCAAACCCAGGACCTCCTATGTGCTGGGCAAGAGTTCTACCACTAAGCTATACCCAGAGCCCAGGATATTCCTATTTTACATGTATGTAAGAGAACTAAAAGGGATTTATGTGGTGGAGAGCACACCCAGGGTTAGAGCCCTAGATTAAATGGATTTGAATGCTAGATGTGGCATCTGGACTCCAAGATGATCCTTATCTCCTGGTATTTGTGTCATTAAAGTTCTCCCCAACTTTTGTGAGGTTGGTCTTTGTGCCCAACAGCATATGCAGAAGTGATGAAATTTCTAGCACCTTAATGACTACATTGTGAAAAATTTTACTCTTGGGTGTTACTCTTCTCCTTCTCTGAGAGAAAGAGTTATATGTTATACACAGCCCTGTGAGGAGCCCATGTAATGGTAAAGAATGAAATCTGCCAACAGCCAGTGAGACCCAGGGGTGCACTGGGAAGTGGTTCCTTCAGCATCAGTTGAGAGTCTCAGGATGATGCCAACAACTTGTCTGTGACCTCATGAGAGGCCCTGAAGCAGATCCACACGGTTAAGTGGCTCCTGGTTCTTTGAACCTCAGGAATTGTGAGAGATAACAGAAGTCTGTTGTTTTAAACTGCCAAATTTTAGGGTATACAAGGCAATAGATAACTATTACACAGATTATTTGAATTAAACAATATGTTAAAGTCCTGAATCCTAAAGTCCTGTAATCTTGATTTGTTTTACTTTCTATTCTATAGAGTAGAATTTTACAGATGAAGCTTATATTCACTTCCAAAATAAGAGAGAATAGAGTGCATCGGTTAAGAGCATAGTCTCTGCATATGATGGGAAGACTGGAATTCAATTGCTGACCTCTTTAATTCTAGCTTGTGAGCTTGGGAAAGTTTTTTAAGTTTTCTATACTTCTGTTTCCCAGGATGACAATGCTTAGCTCAAGTGCCTGGAACACATTAAGTGCAAAATTCATATTAGCTATAATTATTAGTTTTATTTTGAATTATTGAGTGTAAAAAGCCACCTTAAAAACCATGTGTTCTCCATAGATTTGCTATGCCTGAGGTCATGTGGGCTGCAGGTGTCAGCAATTACTTCCTGAGGAAGGCGAAAGCATCCAAAGAAAGAACTCCCCTGAGAAAGAGGAACCCTTCTGCATTCATGGTGGGAATGTAAGTTAGTACAGCTAATATGGAGAACAATATGGAGGTTTCTAGAAAAAAAAAAACAACTAAAAATAGAACTGCATTAAGATCCAGCAATCCCACCACTGGGTATACATCCAAGGGAAGTGAAATCAACATGTCAAAAAGACATCTGCACTCCCTGTTTTTGCAGCACTACCAAACAGCTGGATATGAAATCAACCTAAATGTTCATCAACAGGTGAAAAGGTAAAGAAAATGTGACACACACACACACACACACACACAAATGGAATACTATTCAGCCATAAAAATGAAATCTTGTCATTTGCAACCTGACAGGAATAGATGAACCTGGAGGTCATTATGTAAAGTAAAATAGGTCAGGTACAGAAAGACCAACCGTATAATCTCATACTTACAAATAAAATCTCAAAAAAAAATTGATCTATAGAAGTTGAGAGCAGAATAATGGTTAACAGAAACTGGGGGAAACAGGAGAGAGGGAGGATAGGGAAGTTCCATCAACAGATATAATATTATTAATTGATAGGAGAAATAAATTTTAATGTTCTATGGCACAGTGGGAGAATATAATTATCAACAATGCATTGTATATCTCAAAATTCTTAGAAGAAAAGAACTTGGATATATTCACCATAAAGAAATAATAAAAATTCAAGATGATAGATATACTAATTATCCTGAGTTCACCGCTACCCAACATATACAAGAATCAAACACCACGTTATACCTCCTAAATGTGTACAAGTGTTATGTCAATCAAAAAATATCTTAAGGGTTGGATCTGTGGCTCAGCAGTAGCGCATTTGCCTGGCATGTGTGAGGCACTGGGTTCGATTCTTAGCACCGCATAAAAATAAACAAAAAAAGGTCTAGCAACAAATAAAAATATTTTTAAAAATCTTAAAAATTTCTTCTTTGGGAAAAGAATAGAGGATCTAAACTTAGTCCAATATTATAGTTCCAGCATCAGAGTAGAGATTGATTCACAGGGTCTGTCCAATCCCTGCTGCTCATTCTGCCCACTTGTGTATGGATTTTTATGGTAAAGGACCCTAAGTAAAATCTGAAACAGCTACTTTTCCCCCAAACCACTGTAAGACATTATTTTCATTGGCTTCAGAACATTGGACATCTCCCCCAGTGGAGGAGACTCTCTGCTTCATCAAACAATAGCCTCTGATCCTATGGGCATTCTGGGCTGAGCAGAGCATCTGCAGCCTAGCAGAACTTTAGTATGCAGCACTTTTGTGGCATTCTCAGGTGACTACTGTGGTCACATGTCAAAACAAGCAAACAAAAATGACAACGGAAAAAAAGGTGAACTAATCTATATTTAGGAATGCCCTTTTGTTGAAGGTTAGACTTTGAAGGCTTGGTTGCACAATAGAAGGGCCAGATAAACCACATTCTACTG